AAGTCTGTAGGTAAATAGGTCTTTTTGGGCCCAGTGGCATCACATGACAGATCCTGAAGTTGCAGTACTATGTTTGGCCACTATGAAAACTGGCTTCAAAGCCCAGTGCACTTCCTGGGGGCCTGGTCATTATAGGACGTTCAGAATAACAGCCGTAGTATAAAGAGTGTGACAGTCTGCAGAATGGGTGGGAGAGGAGGTGGATTGGTCCAACAAGCACAGGACTTTAACTCAGGAGACCAGTATTTATGTCCCATGAAAAACTGAGAATCAGCGTTGAGTGATTTTGACATGTCAGCCATTTGTCAGTCGTTAGCCACGTAAGTTGTTTGTCAAACCTTAGTCACTGTTTAGTCACTCGTTAGTAACTCGCTAGTCACTTGTTCGTCACGTGAGTTGTTAGTCTGACGTTAGTCAGTCGTTAGTTAGTTGTAGTTGAGGGAGTCATAAGTCACTCATTTGTCACATGAGTTGTTTGCATAGACTGTAAAAATAATGAATATTGCTATTGTGACCTCACCCATTGCTTTGTCGGCTCCCATTTTGAAGCCTCAAGTTCAGCATTTCAGCCACCGCATCTTGATGTTTTAGAGTCAAAATTGAGCATATTTGTGTGAGAGGCTGGTGCTGTAGAGGAGCGAGGAGTGGATGTAACAAACCCCCTAAGTATGCATTACTTTAGGCCTTAATAAAAATGTAAATAGGTGAGAAAGGGAAATTAGCAATAGAGACCACAATAATTTTTTGTACCAGGCTGTAAACATGTTTATTTTTGCTGTACAGTTGGGCATTTTGACATGGGGGTCTACAGGGATTGACGTGCTTTCAGAGCCAGCCTCAAGTGGCCACTCAAGGAACTGCAGTCTTTTGCACTTTTATGTTGTTAGTCACATGAGACGGCTCATGTGACTCATGTCAAACACGATCTTTTCCAAACCCTTAACAAAGAGTTTTGTTGCCTAAACCTGCCCATCAACCCCGTTGGAGTTCTTAAATCATGCAAGAAAGTTGTATTGAGTGTAATGTAGTAACAAAGTAGTTGTAAAGTAGTAAAGTGATGGCATCAAACCTCAGAAACCACAATGTGCACTAATTTGTAGTCGAACTTTTCAATTTCATTCAAACTGAAGGACAGACGTTCATGATGATGAGTAAAAGTCTGGCTTCAGCCTGATGCTATCCATCAAAAACTTAATCTGTGTGTGCTGAAGTCAAACAGACAAATAGGTCCTCTCATTTCTGATTGATCAGAACAGCCTAGATGTGAACGACACACAGAATCTTTACAAGGGGGACTTTTTGTTTTTCGAGGATATATTACAGAGAGTCTCGGGCTCCGCTCTTTGCTGAGTGGAAAATCAATAACATTTAGCAGAAGGCCTCTCTGGCCTAGATGCTTTAAGGGAAGCTCTGTCTGCAAGCGCCACCCCCCCCCCCTCCCCCCCCTTCCAAAGAATCAACATTAATATTTATGTTGAGCTCTTTGGATGAAATATTGTTTATAAACAAGATGGGAGGACTTCTGGAAACAAGGCCTGATGCCAGTGAAGCTGCGAATTCATTGCATTACATTTCTTATATGTGAAGCTTGCATCTGTGTATATATACCTAAAAATGTATTTCTACATTGGCTTCAAATTATGCTCACTTAATACCCGCAGTATATATGCATATTGTGCATATCTCACAAATGTAGAGCAATCACATCCCCTCTTTGTGAAGCCACAATACAAAGTCAAACCACATCATCAGTGGTGGTTACAAATCACTCTAAATGATTGTCGTACGCCAAGAGAGGCTTCAGCAACGACAGGCTGCAGTGATTTTAGAAGGCAACAATCTGGTTGTAAAATCAGCTGCTGTGTAAGAATAAACTCTCAGACGTTTATTTGTTTTCTATGTACAGTTGGCACTGGTTCATGTGTTCAGCAGGTGCAAAGAGGTAGTAAACACAAATCTTTTTCCATTCAGATTTTACAGCTTAAAATCACAGTCTGAAAAAGCGTTTCATATCCTCATACATATATGCGATCTTGATGTACATTCACTGTTAAGGCAACATGCATTCACATACAGTGTCTGACATTCAGACATCGCCGCATCATGATGGTGGCAGCCATCCAATCATAAGCCACCAAAAACACTCACAGTGAGAGATGCAGGATTAGCATAATGTAGAGCTGACAGTCACATTCAGCAAGTACAGTGTGGTGGAACTTCAGCAGTCATGCATGTATCCACACATGCATAATGCTGGAGAGATAATCCTGTGCTGGGAATAATATCCACTGCACTAAACACATTAGTGCAGTGGATTAGCATTCAGGCTGTTTTATATACAAGTGTCTGTAACTCTGACGCTGGTTCATCAATAGTATGTGGCACCAGTTTATTTGGAAGAAAATGCCATCAGTACAGACAAGATTATAGATAGTAGTGTTGTGGCATTGGAATACTAAAGAGAATGGAATGTGGGCCAAACTGGGTAATGGGGCATCGCATTCACAAGCTGTATTTGCAGTTTACACTGTTCAGACACTTAAATCTTGGGATCAGACACCTACAGTGACAAAATTCCAACAAGGGACGTATTCATATACTTTCTGTGCACTGAAGCATATTCAAATTTTCAAATAGAGTACAGCCAGCTTTCCCACCAAAGTTGACAAACCAATCTCAACTCAAGCTCTGTGTAAGCCCAGTTCAAAGATTTGTGATGAGACAAAACCTGGCCTGCTACAGCTTGACTCAAGCCGGCTGCTGATGTCACCTGCCAGCGACTGGTTTTAGAATGAAAGGCACGTCCCTTGTTTCAACAGCTGATTAGCTTGTAGCGAAGTCAGCTGGTCGAGTCAGTTGCGAACTGTCCGCAGGCAGCTTGTTCGCTTGCTGTGGCATTCTCTGACTACAGCCCTCCGTCCCCGCCAGTCCGTCCCATTTACATCCCTGCAGCTGTTAACACATATGTTCTCACGGTGTGTTGGTGTTGTTTGGTTGGCTGCATGTGCGCATGTCGCAGAGACATACTCAAAAATACAAAGTATGCTTTAGCCTTTTTCAGACCAAAGATTCGCAACGAGATGAAACTGTTTTGGAACGTAGCAGAGAAAAGTTGCAGTGGTGTGAACTGGCCTTCTGAGCTCCGCTCAAGCCGGATGATGGTGTCACCTGCGACTCCGCCGGCAGCTAGTTTTAGAAAGTAAAGCTCATCACCTGTTCCCCAGTTGGCTTGCAGTGAAGTCCGCTGTACAAGTCAAAATGACCACAGACGGCATGTTCGCAGGTGCTCCGTCCCCGCCTAGCCCTTGGTTTCCATTCTCATGGGGTGCTGGTGTTGGGCGGTGGGTTGCTGCTGCTGGCTGTACTACTCTCGCTGACTAACCTCTTGGTGCTACTTACTTATCGTGGCGTATTTATTATGAATACAGTCCATCTGATGCTCGTTTGTTTTTGTTTTTCGCAGTTTCATCACTACTACAAATGCAACTGTAGCCAGTATCTCACTATCACTATCTTCATTCATATTTTAGGAAGTTACATATTATATTCAGCCACAAAATAAGCCTGAAAAGCATAGTGATGATATACTGTCTCATCTTGTTGCATTGGTGTGAATCGGCAGGTTTTTACAACGTTGCAGAACGGCGTGTCGCAGGTAGTTGCCTGTTTCAACTCCTCTCGTCGGCAATCTTTGGTCTTGACTTGGCTTTGGAGTCGTTAACTTGCACCTGAAAAGCCGGAAGTTAGAATGGAAGTGCAGAGAGTTGTTGCTATGGAGACGGTACACCATCTCGTCTAGTTGCATTGGTATAAACTAGCAGGTTTCACCATTGCGTGCAGTTTTAGCAGGTTTTAGCTCGTCTCATAGCAAATCTTTGGTCTGAACTGGGCCTTACTCACATAGAGCTTTTAGCCAGATCACACAGTCTTCCTCCACAGATGGAGTTTACTCAGTTGTCACTGAACTTTTCGGGCGTAATGGCTTAAAAGCATCTCCACTCTTGACTTTGGAAACAGTTTGTCATTGTTGTTGACCATATCACATTTTGTCTGCAACAGTAAACACACTCAGTTTTATGTGGGCTAGTACACAATAATGGCCACATGACAACACTCCAGAATGTCCATTAAACTGAAAAGGTCAAAAGTGTCGCCACTTTGTCACATAGCCATCCAACACAGGGCTGACAGGATGAAACTACATCGAGATAATGACAGCAATGAACGGCTGTAAAATCCATCATCAACATCCACACAGAAAAGCTTTATAGCCTGAAAATGTGATTTTGCTGAAACAGACAGCAGCGAATGGGATGGCAAACATTATTACACAGCCGAGGGGTTACATTTCACTTGTGTTTGTGATGTTTTATTCAGAGCTACATGCTCCTTTATGACAGCGTATGATATACGAGTTGATGGCTTAAGGATAATATCCTGGTAGCCAACTTGTGCAGTCAAGTGATGGAAACACTTACTCATAGCTCTCAAACACACAGATATTAGCATAAGCATGCGCGCACATGGCGTCATAAAGGTTCACATAAACACACAAAAACAGAAGCAGGTGACAGAGCTTGGTGGTGGGATGTGTGAATCCGAACCCCAGAGAAAAGCTGTCCTGTCTGTTTAGATTAATGGAGCTGTTTCTATTTTGGGAGCAGCTTTAGTGAGAGGAGAGGAGACATTTGAATACAAAGACAGAACACAAACAAAAAAGGGAGTAGGGATTCATTTCAGGATTCGCGCAAGATTAAAATCAACCTCAATTACATGTGTCAGTCAGCTTTAGGCCAATGCACCCACACTTGAGTTTGCTTTTCAAATTAACAGTAAATCATATTCCTTCTGGCTGACTTTAACCCAAATATTTTTTACACCAAATTTGAAGAGCTTCCCAAAAAATGATAAGAAACAGCTTGCCAGCCAACACAACCACCCAACTTCCCATCATCATTTGGCCAACACTCAACCCGTCACTAAAGTCATTTGCATCTTACCACTCATGCTGGGGCTCATCAATGACCAACAGGATCTTGAACTTCTTAGAGAGCGACGGAGAGGGAGCCGACTGCTCCACGAACCCGGCGGCGGACGCAGCCGTCTGTTTGACCACGATGGTGATGGAGCTGAAGGAGCTGAAGAAGCCAGAGGAGCCGCCAGAGGAGGAGGTGGACTGGGCCTGTTGAGGCTGTTGAGCCGGCTGGTTCAGACGCCGCTCCTGTGCTGCGGGGGAGCTGGTGGGTGCCTGGGCTGGCGCTGGAGCTTTGGTCGGCGACAGGGCAGGGGCGGGCGCCGTAGCTGGGGGTGCACCTTGCTGGGAAGGAGAGGTGGCAGTTGGGGGAGGAGGAGCAGGTGGGTCAGGCCTCTGGAGGTCTGTCATGTAGCCATTGGGCAGGTTGGACATGAAGCTGCTGTCGGAGAGACGGCGTCGGAGGAAGTTCATGATTGCGGTTGAAAGGTCGGTCGGTTAGTTGCCCTCCAAGTGTGTCTCTTGATTTCTTCTTGAATGAACTAAAAGCAGAGGTGGCTGCACAGGGAGACACACTGATCAGAGGTTAGATGAATGACAGAGAACAAATCGCTCCAAATGATCGAGGAGTGCGTGACGGAGAGCTGCTCCAGAGTTGGAGAAATGGAAAGCAGGAAGGAAGGAAAAGGATGGATGAAGCGATGGATACAGCTCTGGTCCAGTCTTCAACAGACAGCTCTCCAAAGCGCAGCTAAGCCAGCAAAACAGCGTGCGTGTATGTGATGTTCCTCCTCCTGAGCCTCACGCCTCCTCACTAATGCGTGTGTGTGTGACGCGTGAGAGTGTGTGTCCGAGAAAGAGAGAGACAGAGAGGTGTGGTGTCGCCCCCTTTGGTGAGGTGCAGGTGCTCTCCCCCCTCTGCTCTGCCGTCCTGCCTCCTGAGCTGCTGTGAGCTGAATGTGCTCAAGAGATGCTGCTCTCTCTTCTTATCTCACCCTTTCACTCTGCCCTTACTCCCTCGCTCGGCACGCTCACTGGCTGACTCCCCCTCCCCCCCCCCCTCGCCTCCTCCTCCTCCCTCCTGTCATCATCCTCCTACATCATAGGCTACGTGTGCGTGTGTCGTGCTGCAGCCTTGTAGCGCTGCGTGCCGTGTGCAGCCACTGGAAGGGGTTTCCTGCGAGCACGCATAAGGTGGAGTTCAGAGATGGAAACACCATCCACCCTGCTCTGCAAGCCCCTCCTCCTTCTCCCGCCATCTTTCCATCCATCTTTCCACCCTCATTCTCAACCTGTCTTCCTTTCATCCTTTTTCCTGCCACTGTGGGCTCGTGTATGTCACAGTGCTGACACATTTTCTCGTGGATTCATTCTCATAGAGCTGAAAAATCCCCCCCCCCCCCCCCCCACTCCCCTCTGAGAATGTGCTCATACCAATATTTTGCTATTGAAAGCATGTGGCATAACTGAGGGCACGGCTGATTTGTAATTCAGACCGCTCTGGGTAGAGGATGGCAGGAAAATAGAGACAGGACGAGAGGCGAAGGACAGAGATTCATTGCTCTCTCATGGTTTCTATTGACTGATTTAATCAGTCAGATGATTCCCTCCAGTAAAACGTGTTGCTCCTCAGTAATGTGCGCTCTTCTGCAGCATAAAGAAACAGCACATGGAGGTGATGATGGCGTTACTTAAAGGGACAGTCCACCCCAAAATCGAAAATACATATTGGTCCTCTCACCTGTAGTGCTATTTATCAGTCTAGGCTGTTTTGGTGTGATTTGCTGAGTGCTGGAGATATTCGCCGTTGTTATGATAGCTTTATTGGTAGTTTAATGAATGTCTTCTGGGTGCGGTTTAGGCAGGTGGTAAGAGGCAGGGTCCGCACTGATGTCACACTTGGGGGTTGGTGGTAATGACTCATTAGCCACAATTAGCCACACCTGGAGGGAGAGCTGGAGAGGCTTTTGGGCTGAGCGGGCAGCCACAAGGGAGACGCTGGAGGCAAGACACTCTGAAGACAAAAGAGACTGAGAAAGGGTTTGACACTACAAATAATCCATGTAAATACACATTCACTCCGAACAACCATGAAGAAGAGAGAGCTTGCCCAGCCGACTGGTCCGACAGAACGGCGAGGAGCGAGAGCAGTGGCCTGGCAGGGAGTCAACCACACACACCCCCAGATAGGAGAGGTCACACTCACCCAAGGAAGTCAAGGCACACTTCTCAAGTCTGATGCAACACGTAGAGAGAGGCACTAAGTAATGGGCTTGCTAGACTTAGTTGATGACGTTTTACCAGCCGGGTTTAGCATAGCAGCGTAACAGCTGTACATGTGCCTGCTGCCTATTCAATATATTGCAACTACATGGCACTCGGCTTGTGGTGCTCAAAGCACCAAAAATACATTTGAAAAACTCAACATCAATGCCTCTTACCAGAAATCATGACGCAGTTATTCAAGATAATCCACGGACCTTGTTGTGAGCAGTTTCATGTAGGAACTATTTCCTTTCTACCAAACTACACCTGTCAACCTTATCACTGTGCAGCAGGAAGCGTGCTTCTGACGGTGTAAGATGAAAACATTATTGGTGTCCTCCTCTGCTAAGTTAATGTTAGCTAGCTCAGTGGTGCTAGGAGAGCTAGCAGTAGCCTAGATGCATGCTTCCCTCTGCATGGAGTTTGTCATATGCAATTTGTTTTGTTTTTTTTGGCACTTTAAGCACAGCAAGCCGAGTGCCATCTGGTTCCATTATATTTGACAGAAGGCAGACGTCTCTACAGCCGATACCTCCAACACTCGGCAACTCACACCAAAACAATCTAGCCTGATAAATAGCTCTACAGGTAAGAGGAAACGTGCATGTTTGATTTTGGAGTGAACTGTTCCTTTAAAGAAAATGTAGCATAAGCGTGTAAAGTCTATGAAAATCAAATGCAAATAATATATTTTCTACATCTGTTTAGCCAGCAAATCCACAGTTTCAGCAAACTTTAACTTCGAAACAAAACACTCCAAACAACTGACGACACATCACAAACTCAAATACATACGCTCCTCTCGGTTAAGGAGATACAGTTTATTTTCTACACCCCTTAATGCGTCACGCTTTTTGTTTTGGTGTCTCTCCCACTTCTTATTCCCTAACAAACATCTCCTCCCTATGCCTGGCTTCATTATACAGTCACTATTTCAGGGCATGAGAGGAGTATTCTTCCTAAATGCCAGCAGCAGGCTGCGTCCGCACTGTGTGCAGCTCCAAGCTTTGCTTCAGAAAAAAAAAAACACAGCCGACGATGACAGTACAAAAGAGGGAGAAAGGAGATTATTCAAGCGGGAAGAAAATCCCACACACGTCTGAAGCACATGAAGTAGAAAAGAGACTGCAGTGGAAGAAAATATAGACTCACAGAACTTCCATATTGACTTCGAAGGTCAATTATTCCTTAAAGGATGTTGAGTTTTCACTAATTTAGAAATATTCTCTGAGCATTTATCAGATCTGACACACTCAGTATCGAGCTTTGAGATTTCTAGAAGCGAGCAGCTTTCAGTACAGATTGGGTTTACACTGATGCTATCTCAATTGATGGAAATGTATTCCTTGACCTTTATGCCATCAAAGGGCTGCTTTTCAGCTGCACTCTAAACCACTCACACGGCCACATCTCTTACTGCACAATATTGCACCGCATTCCATCAGCCACCAGCACGCACTTTTCATTCGCACCTTATGTTTAGTGTTTAACGACTGAACTGCTACAGAGATGTGGACTGTGCTTTTAAATTTATTGAAAACAAATGCCTCGAGGGTGCATCCAAATTTATGGCACGCAGGATGACACAAAATGTGGGGAAGCCACTTTTCTTGTCATAAAAAACATCCAAAGAGACATAAATTGTTCTTCAGACTCAAGTCACACAGCGCTGCTGTCGAATACAGTGTTGTAAAATAATGAATAAATCGACCTGTGTTCAGTCCTCAAAAGGTTTCTTTTTTCTTCTTTTTTCTGCATAACATGCAGGATGCACATTTGTAGTCACGATGTGTCGAGCCCAGTGAGGAAGGGGGGGCCGTGTTTAGTCAACCAGAAGAGAGCCGAGTGAGTCACAGAGCTGCAGTGTGAACTGTAGCGACATCCTAAGCTCATCCTGGCCTACATGTTTCATGACACACATACACAACACATAGCACATTTCCAAACAGCTATTATATAATACGTGTGTGCATGAATTCACGCAGGCGACGGAGCCAAAGATTAAAGAGCGGCAATTTGTGCATTAGAAGACACACTCTGGAATTTACGGCATAAATAATCTCCTTCTAACAAAGTGGTACCCTGACTGAGAAAGATTACGGCCTCCCGACCTTCCTCACCTCCCCACTTTTGAGTTTGTGTTGATAAGTATTGTGTAGCTACGGTATAGCTGAGAGGAGAGTGTGATATATTCTGCCTTGTGCTGCTGCGTTGGAGGAAACACAGAAAGAATACACAAACAGCAGATCCACAATGCTGGGAGCATCACTCATCTGTCAACACAGGCACGCATATACGACAGAGACTGAGATACAAATGTGTGCACACACACACACGCACACACAGATGCTGACAAACAAACACATTGTCTTCCCCTTTTAAGTGTCCTTATTAAGACCAGCATGTAGCTGAGTGAAAGGGTGGGTAATTTAATTCATTATTTAACAGAAATGAATGAAATGAATCATTATTAAGTCATTTAGTAATGAAAATACTAATGTGATCATTTTTATCAGCAGATGAGATGAGAAATTTAGAATATAAAGCACTTTTTTTGATGGAGGTAGAGCATTTGGTGTGTGTGTGTGCATGCATGTGTGTGTGCACAGGCCTGGTTAAATGCTGCTTTGAGGGATTTTCTGCAGATATCCGAGCGTGTGTGGGTGAGTATGCCAGGGTCAAACCTCCTGTGGCTTCACTGACTCAATTTAGATAATCCATGAGAAATCAGTGCATTTGGGCTCTGTGCACATCTGGCATCGACAGTAGGTGCTAATGACACGGTGTAATACACACTAAAACCTCAGTGGGGGCACGTGTATGAATGCAAATTCCCAAATTTTAATGAATAATTCAAGTCGATTTCAACTCAATCCAAGTTTTATTCAATTGATACATAACTTTTTAATGACTAACTGTAATGGGGCAGCTAACACTGAAGCATAAAAGTGAATAAATGGAAGTTTTATTGCTGGGAGCAACCTCAGATGCACCAGCAGGTTAATTGAAAACACGGGGGGCTCAACCCAGGAAACAACAGCGTTATTATGCGCCTGTGCTATTATAAAGTTACAGTCTGAGTCTTTCTGAACACAAAGCCTTACAATGGTCAACCTTCACAGAGGCCTAACTGTGCCTCCTGCATTAGACATGAGTCTTGATGCTATGACTCCGTTGAAAAACAAGTAAAAAAAACATGGATTGAAATGTCTGTCCTAGCCTCTGAAGCTACTTCAGAGAATAATGTGGATTCAGCCGAGCTATAAAAAATAAAAGATAGCTCTCTGAATGAACTTTAACAGCTCTGTGTGGATGGATGGAGCTACAAGATTAAAACACCCACACACACGACTCAGATATCTGCAGCAAATCCCCCCAAAACACCATTTAACCAGGCGTGTGCGCACCACACCTGCATGCACATGTACACACACACATACAGCAGAAGTTACTCTGCAGAGTGTGTTGCAGCGGGGAAGAGAGATGATGTTGATATTTCTGCGATAGGCCGAGTTGTGTTGTGCATTTTTAGGCACAACCCAAAATTCAAGATTCAAAACTGCCATGGCAACGACTAGAAGAGGAATTGGCTTGGGAGGGATAACAATAAAAAGCACAACAGGAATGATAAATCAGCATACTGATGAGCCGTTTTCATACCACAAGCAAAGAGAGGCAGAAGCAAAGATTTAGTAACACCTCCATGCATCACAAACATTTCTCAGCTAACCTGGAGTGGAATATCATATGAATGCAGAATATCTATAAATAACTGCCGGTGTTTGGGGCCCCT